ATACATTTACTATGAGTATAAAATACTAAAGTAAGGCTATTATTACTTTCATATAGCAAAAAAGAGAATAAAAACACCGTTATAAAAACATTGTGCTAACGTTTAATTAGATTAAAATATTACTGAAATTGAATATCGAATTAAAAAACCATCCTACCAACATTTAAAAGAATTAGAATATTATTAAATTAAAATACTTTAAAATACGTTATATAAAATATAATTAACATTAAAGCATATGTGACAATAATTACCTCAGCAATTTTTGAAAATAATGTGTTAATTTTTTTAACAAAAATTGAAGTATACAATTATAAAAGAAAAGAAAAATATGTACTTACATTTTTTTGAGTAATTTAACCTCTTGTTTATTGATAAGTACCACAAAAAAATCGAAATCATAATTGAATCGGTTCTTTTAATCATCTTCATCTGTTATCCAAATATCTCGCACTTCATTGAAGAAGCAATTAGCAAGGTTTCCTCCAAAAATTTAAAATAAATTTCCTCTGACGCTATTAACAATTTATAAATAAATCTTTGATTAGGAAAGGCAGGTTGGCCGAAATAAGGTCTCAAAGGGCAATTTTTTTATTCCGCTACCAATAATTCTTGGTAATTACCAATAACAACATTCATCTTCGAAACATTAGATTAAATTTATAGATATTAATAAAACCAATTACTTTTTAAGTAAGGTGACGTCATTGATTACATCATCCACAACATAAAATATTATAAACAAAAAAAATTTATCTCAAATAAAAATGTAAAATTAAATTGATTTTTAATATTTAGAAGCCATAAATAATATTTAAAACACGGAAGTTATGCATAATAAAACGCATTATTTTTTAAATAAAATAACAATAAAGTATCGGTTACCATAACTAACATATCCAGCAATGGGTTTACCATAAGTTGTATTACTCGCCAAAAGGAAAATCGCCAAAACATCGCAAAAATCCGTGCAACCGTCTACCAAAGTAGCACCAAATATATTTATATACGTTTGGTGCGCCGATTGCAACCAAAATACGAGGTGCACATCTACATGTTATAGCAGTCCTATATACAAAATTTCAACGTTCTGAGGCTACTCGTTTTTGAGTTATGCGAGATACGTACGCACGTACGTACATACGTTCGTACAGACGTCACGAAAATTTCTCTTCAGAATTAATTTTAAAGCAGTTTTATAATTTTTTTGGACGAAAAGAGTCTTTTATTCTATCCTTACGTACAGATATTTCGCAAAAACATCGTTAAATTGCATTCGATAGCGGTCAAAATAGATATTTTCGTTGAAATATGTTGCCTGAAACTTTTCGCGATTACAATACTTCCTTTTTACTTCGTACAAGGAAGTAAAAAATGGCAATGAAATATGCCAATCTCTTAAAAACAGTGACATAAAAAATACGATGAAAAATTGTTGCCAAACCTATATTTCTAAAAGAATGAAACTATTCAAAATGATGCGATTTCATCAAAAATCTATCAACAACAATAAGAAAGGGAAATTGTTGCCAAAATCACATTTTTAAAGATGTGAGATGTGAGAAGTGTACTCGGAAGCTTCATTGAAAAAATTTTTTAAAAATACAAAATATTATCATTTTTCCAAAATTTCTTTTTGTAAAAGCAAGTCGCAAGGATGAAAGTTTAACGTGTCCAAAAATCAAAGAAAAATAAACTGTACATTTTTAAACATAAACGTTTTTAGAAAAAATCTCGTTGAAAAGGTGTTAAGCTTACTTTGTTAAATGAATTCGTATTTAATCGATTTATTGAAACACGAAATTTATTTTAAGTTCGTAAAATAGCTAAGTGCCTACATTTCATGACGATGTGAAAATGGAGTGCGTAGAGTAAAATCTCACTTTCCTATAGCCCATTATATCTCAAAATGACGCGATTTCGTCACAAACATAAAATAAAAAAAATTATAATTCGAATTTCGAAAAAATCGCTTCGAGGTGCACTGGCTCTTTCTAGGGCACCTATGTACCAAATTTCGTAGCCGTGGGTCTATTAGCTTACGCACAGCGCGAACGAAAGACACACAGACTCTTTGTTTTATTATATGTAGAGATTATTAATGCACAAAGCACTGTGCATGAATTAGAAACGGAAGTAGAACATTCTTTAGAATACAGCAAAGCTACCATTAAATGTAAATCGAAAGTTACCAGATACGTTCAAAATGGTGTTAAAACCGAAACAATTCCCCAAGTTTCTGAAATCAAAACTAATTATAATACTTTATTACCTCTTATTACTTTAGAATCTTTCAATGGTGACTTACGTTTTATGTAAATTCAGCGAATTTTGGGCTCAGTATAACGCTGTCATTTACGAAAACAATACGCTTCAAGATGTTGAGAAATTTAACTATTTAAAATCACTACTCTCTGGTTCAACTGCAAAAGCTATAAAAGCGTTAACAAAATGAAAACCACAGCAAAGCCATCGAAATTTTAACTGACGGATTTGGGATAGTAAGAAATATTAGTTTTTGAACATACGAACGTTCTCCTTTCCTTTAGACTGTATCTCGTTCAAGTGATGTATCCAAACAGTATTATATGATGAAATAACTGTTTAAACTAGAAGCTTAGAAACATTAAATATTAAATTATTAAATTTAATTCTGGTAATCTACTACTGTCCATTTTATATAAGTGCATAACATAAGATTTAGTATTACAATTTAGTTGAGAACAAGTCAACAATGTCAGATTTATTGTTATTTCTAAAGAAAGAAAGCCAGTGGAATATCCTCAATTCTTGGTCTTAACCAACAAGCATTTGCGAAAGGGAGCGAAAGCAATATTGACACTTCTCGTAACAATTTCGTTCCAGTTTAAAGAAAATGGCTTCAGTGCTGACGCTTAGTACATCAGTTGAAAAATATATGTGATTTTTGTTCCAAATCTCACCCCTCCAAAGACTGCGACTTAAGGGGTCGTACCTCACTTAAAAGGTTAAAACGTCGAGTAAATCGAACCATTTCAAACTACTATGTCTCAAAATATATAAAAAGAAAACAAATATATATATACGAGGGTTATGGCAAAAGTCATGGCAACTATTTTTTTCTTGTAGATATGTGAACGGATCACAAAACGTATAAGTGTCGTGTGGAAGTTCTGAAGGCATAGTGTGTATGCAGTACAACAGATGGCTCTGAGGTAGCGAGGGCTCTGAAATAAGTCAGCTGGTGAGTGTCGTGCGAGATGGAAGTAACCCGTGTTGAGCAGCGCGCTTACATCAAAATAGCCGTTCTCCGAGGGAGAAATGCGATGGAATGTCACAGTGAATTAATACAAGTCCTTGGGAATAATGCCGTACCATATCATACAGTAGCACGGTAGGTAGGAAAGTTTCAGCAAGGGCGTGTGTCAACCAGTGATGAGCAATGTGCAGGACGAACGGTGAGTGTGCGGACCGACTTGACACATGCCGTCATCGAGCACCTCATGGATGAAGAGAGACGATGAACGTTACTGGAGTTAGGGAGAACAAGTGGCATCGAGAAACAATTTACATCGCTTGCCTAAAAACATCAGATACATGATGAGACAGCGTAACAGGCTTAGAAAGTCGTATCACGTGACTTGGGATCCGTCTACCAAACGAGAATACAACAGGATTAATAAAAGAATTAGCAAGGCCATCAAACTTTATAAAAGAGAATTATATGGACAGAAAAAATGCTCAATTTAAAAAGTAAAAGATGGTTTCCTTCTGGACTTTAATTAAAAATTTGAAGAAAACCTTTTCCACCACAACTATCCTCTTCATTATAATAACTCTGTAGCCACATCTAATCAGGAAAAAGCTGATATGTTTGCATCCCATCTCCAAACTCAATTTATGCCTAATGACTGGCCAGTGAATCCTGATTTTGAAAAAGGATACACTAATTAAAGTTCGAGACTGGCTCAACGCACCAACAGCCAAAAATATTTGTAAATTTAACTACTCCTGCTGAAGTTTCTGATATTATAAGAAAAATTACATTCCTAAGAAAGCACCGGGAATCGACTGTATCACTAACATTACCTTAAAACATTCTCCCGAGTAACTTTATCACCAAAGTTACTAGTATTTTCAATGCTTGCATTTCAAACTCTTACTACCCCAACCCCTGTAAAGTTGCAAAGATCATCATGATACACAAACCGGGGAAAAATCAACTTCAATCAGACGGATTTCGTCCAATAAGTCTCCTCCCGAACCTAAGCAAAGTCTTTGAAAGAATTCTACTGGAAAAAATGAAGTCTTATCTCACCTTACTGCCTCCTGAACAATTTGGTTGCTATCCTCATGCTGGATGTGGCGAAAGCTTTCGACTGCGTCTGGCATGAGGGTCTCATAGTGAAACTTATTGATTTCATCTTTGAACGTGAGCTCCTGCTAATTATTTTCTCTTTTATCACCAGCAGAAAATTCGTAGTTTCTGTTCACGGTGCCTTCTCTTCAGAACGTCCAATTCACAGTGGAATTCCTCAAGGGAATGTTTTAGGTCCAATTTTCTATCTCTTATATGCTGCAGACTTCCCTTCTGTACCCTACAACAATAACTCAATTTTAGCTTGTTACGCAGACGACACTGCTTTGGCGGTGAAATCTGCAAATGTGAATCATGCAGTTAAAAAACTCCAAGACCACATCCCTTTCATAGAAGACTGGTGCAAAAAGTGGAAAGTACAAATTAATGCATCCAAGTCTCAACTACTCATCATCAGAAAAAAGAAAAAGAAAAAGAACCTCAAGAGGCAACTCCTATTGTTTAATGAACCCATACCTGTTGTGAAACATGCTAAGTACTTAGGAGTTACCCTGAATAGTAAAATGACATGGACTAACCACATTAATAATGTGAGAAATAAAGCCATCTATGTAATGAAAATGCTTGTATCCTATGTTAGGACGCTTTTCAAAACTTGATCTCACCAAAAAGAGGGATTAATCTATCTCTCTAACTATTCGTCCTATCATGACGTACGCCTCACCAGCCTGGAGTACTGTGACTAAAACTGACTTAAACAAGCTTCAGGTTATGCAAAATCGTTCTCTAAGACTGATAACCAGTGCCCATTACTTTGTGCGGAACGAAGTACTCCACAGGGACTTAAAAATCGAGCCACTAGATACTTTCTTACGCAAAACAAATGACAAGTTCTTCAGGAAAGCTAAAGACTGTGAACATCTGAATTTATTTAACCTATTTCATTACGAAATCTTAGACGAAGACAGGCATCTCCGTCCTTTTGCTGCTTTTATCCTGAATAGCAATCAGAACTTTCCTACGTAGTTGCTATCTATTTCATTTAGCGACTATTGAAACTCCAAGTCCAAAACGAAGCAGCATTCATCAGAGCCAGCACTTGGGATGGTGGCGTCCCACGTGACCTGTGCACACCGCTATTCAGATGTATTTTTCATGCAATCAAGCCTTCCTGATACTATGTACATATGTATATAATCTATATTTAACCTAGCATATTGTTTTTCAACTATTTATTCTGCACTTTATTTTATATTTTTCTTGTATTCTATATATGTTACTTTTGACGAATACTTCAACACCAATCAGATGTCATCTCAGAGCTCACGTAACTTTGGTCACACCCCTTTCTACATCTCAGCTTCCTGCACCGCCCAGCTCAAGTATTTTCCCACCTGCAGCGCTCTTAGTAGCATCTAAATCAAGACAGCCGGAACACAGCACGTAATTACTGCGTGCTAATCGCGGTTTAAAGAGGAACTTGGAACTTTCATATGATTTCTGTTCGTACTGTATGCTTCGCTCTTGCTTCCGCCCTTCCTGTTTGAATCAAGACGTCTTATTCGAAGTATGTATTTTATCATATAACTTTTTTGTGTTCGTATATTCGATTCGATATTTAATTTGAGCACAAAAATCTGCATTTGTTGCATTGCCTTTATAGTTTGAATTTATATATTTTCAGATGAATTTGGAACAACAGTTTGAGAACGAGCCTCTCAACGTGGATGTACTGAAGATTTCAGATTCTGAACAATACCATGAAAAGCCCAAAGAAACACCCATCTCTCAGAACGCTAATGGCAAACGAAAAATAGACGAAGATAATACATCTAAGAAGAAAGTAAGTATTACGAAAAGAGTTTATTCTTGCTTATAACGTAGACTTATTTTTATTATTCTTTTACCAAACGATTCATCATTATTTTTTCTCTTTTAGAGCAATGGACGGTTTACTGAAGACACAATCCCAGAGGAGCTGACACACATTGGTAACAATGTCTTTGTGGGGCCTACCGTTTTCAACGGAAAGATCACCGTGCACATCGGGCAATACAGCAAGTACGGGAGTGCATACTATCCAACTCGTAACGGTGTGAATTGAACTAAATAGAATGTTCTAGAAGTTCTAACACGTATCTGCATGCTGCAATCAGGTTGCGGATTTAGTATGACATCAGAGCAGCGGGAAGTTCTACGTCAATCGATAAACATGTACATGAAACCGGATTACAACACAAACATACTTGCGACTGACGTCTGTGATAACGTCATGAACAGGATGCGACGCGTCCGTAATTGGTGACGTAGCAACCAGCTGGTGGCCCTCTGCAAATTCCCCCCGTGCGCCACACAGTCACAGCGCCATATGGCTCCAAAGTAACATTTTCTACCTACTGAGATCCATGAAGTTGATGAGTATTGGATAAAACAAGTGCAGAGAGAGAGAGAGTTATTCTTCGGAGATTCAATAACTAGAGGGGAATAATTCGATAGCACCTGATTTGAAATTTTACAGTTTAGCACCATATCTGGACAGTAGAGTATACCAGTTGTATTTTGCGTATCAGTTGTTTGGAACAAGCAGAATTAACAGATGATATATTTTTCTATTTTGTTCAGTCTTTTCTCAATTTTTCTCAATGTTCAGTAATGCTTAATAAGATAATTTGCAGAACATTTTTTTTGTTGCCTTTTTACTATTAATGTTTTCTGTGTGAACTTTATTAAACATCACGGCCTTCCCATTTGCGCTACATAAAATTCCATTTGCAGAAAAATCACAAAATATTTAAAAACAGTATATCTTTGGAATTCCCAATAGAGTATTAGGAACTTTACATTCGCTATATTATTTAACCCACATATCTTTATATTCGGTGTATTATTTCTTAAAAAACTTGCCGCTTGGGCGGACAACAGCCTTAAATTTTTATCATAAAAAAAGAAAAAGTATATGATAATTTTATTGACTCCAGCTAATAAAAATACTCAATATTTCTAATTATGTACGTAATGATTTTAATATATGTTTATTTAAATCAATGACATTAAAAACAGAAAAAATATTAAGAAATGTGTTTATTAATTTAGAACTCAAACAACAAAAATTAGCCTTATATTTGCAAATTTTCGTAGAACTGGTTTGGATGGTTTTAGCAAAGCATTATTCTCAGCTGCCAAAGTGGAAATGAACCATATAAGATATAGTGATAAGATAAGAAAAGAATAATTGGACAAGGAGTTAAGCTACTGGCGACATTTATTGACAAGAAAACTAAAACACGTTTCACATTAAAAAAAATCCTTCTGTTCTAGTTAAGGACCCTAATTCCAATCGATCTTTATTTTCAGCCTTTATGGAAATTTTGTTTTAGTTTTCTTGTTTCATCAATAGATGTCGCCAGTAGCTTAACTCCTGTCCAGCTATTCTTATCTTATATTATTTTATCACTATATCTTATCTCGTTCATTTGCACTTTGGCTGAGAATGATGGTTGGGTAAAACCCAACCATCATTCTCAGCTAGATACTCAGCTTTAATAGCTTCATTCTCAGATTGGATCTCATTCATTCTCAAGTTGGATTCTCAGGTTGGTATTGCATTTTTTTCATTCTCAGCTGGATACTCAGCTTTAATAGCTTGATTCTCATGTTGGGGCGTGTTATCTTATCTTAATGTGTTTATTGCTTTTAAATCGCTTAGTTCATTACTCAATAACTTTCTAGATTAAATTTGAAAGCATTTTAGTCTTTATTTAATGGCAACACATGGCGCGGGGAAGATAAAAGTATTTTATTTCTAGCCGCAACAATACAGTTCTTTCTTAGAGCTGAGTTTGTTAATTAAAATTGAAAGATATTTTACATTTTTTCCGATGAATGTCTTACATTTATCCGAAGGGCAACAGTCTCGCGCGTTGGAGATAAAACCAAGGAGGTTAGAATAGATGAAGTTAACATGACGCCACAAAAGCGAAGCCTTGGAAATGTCAGCAGAGTGACGTCACGATTTATCACGGCCGCCGTATAGCGTACGGGTAAGACTACGAAACATATCGTTAAATAAAATTACACTGACTTTGAGAGCAAATATCAACGTCTGCAGGCTAGATACATAATTTGCATAAATTACCATTGAAACTTTCATGGTTCTTTCAGGTTTTACCATGTATGCAATTGTCTTATAATTGCCGTTGTTTTATAATTACCATTAATTCATGTTTCTATATTTTATTAAATCTGAAATAGTTATTTGCAATCCTTGTGACTTTTCTATATACTATGTAGAAAATAATTTATGTTAAGTATTAAAATTAGAACGGGAGGCTAAAATGTTCAATAATGAACAGCTAAAATGTTGACAACACTGATTAGAATGTTAAAAAAAAAAAAAAAAAAAAAAATCATTCAGAAGTCCGCGCATGGCAGCGACCATATAAGTCGTGACGTCAAACCGTGACGTTTAATAGCTTCATTTTCATTGCGTGTCACATAACCTCCTGGAATAAAACTGTTTTATTTCGAACAGCATTGTCGCTACTCGCTTTGAAATCGTTGAATTTGTTAATGAAAGATTCATTAGTTTTACAAAATAAGAAATAAATAATAAAGCAGTTTCGGAATTCAAAATTAGGGTTTCAGGTGCACATGTTCGAGGGGAGGACTACGTTATTCAAAATTTGATGGGTCTTGGCACCGGCCTTTTTCACAATGCTAGAAACATACATGCAGATTCTTCAGTATTTAATTTCTTTAAATGTAATACAGGGCGATAGTATTTACTGGCAACTGTTTAGAAAGTAATACGCCGTTTATACTGAAAAGACACAAAATCCCATTTCCAGACTAAGGCTGCTATCACACGGCGGTTTGTTTCGGAAGAACAACTGTTTGGAACAATTTTTCTGCTTTGCCACGTGATATACAACAGCCAATCACCATAGATCACTTTGGGGTTAACATGTAAAAAGAAACCTGGTTCTCTACTACAAACACGAAGGTTACAAAAATTAGTTATATATATAGTATTTGTTAATATGAATATTAACAAAATATGAAAGTTAATTTTATAAAATAATTAAACACATGAACAAATATATGAAATAGAAAATAATTATTTCTCATGCAATAACTGGGCCACTACACTACTCCCCCACCAGTAACTATAAGTTACGTTACGAAGATGGAGAAATAGGTAGTAACTAGTATTGCAGTGTTAACCACTATCAGAATAATTTACAGTCCTTGAATCTAACAGGTAAACGTATAGTTCTGCCTGTGCGATAATGTTTTAGCGTAGTTGGCGACACATTAATTAAATCGTCTGCTTGTGATTCTGTGACAATACACAGATAGAAGCAATTCTCGGAGCGAGGTAAACACGGCCATCAAACGCATGTCGAATTCAAAAGAATGTTTCATTTTAGGAGCGTCTGTATTTGCAGCTGCTTTCCCCATCAAGAAAAAAAGAAAGGTCAAAAGAAAAACATGGGCAAGACAATGGCTGTTGGGACGTAAAACACTGGGCTGCTATGAAAATTTAATGCGTGAACTGGCATTTGAGGTAAGAGTTATTTCTATAGTCCTTTTTGGGCTGAAAATGAAGACAAACAACAGCGATGTTTGAAGAATATCCAAAATTTTCTTATATCCGTACCGCCAATACATTTTGCTTCCATTACGAAAAATTACATACTAATAAAAACAAACAGCAGTAATAGTAAATACATCAAAAGGAAATTTTACAGTGTGGACTTGGCTACTAATGTTTAAAATTAATTTATGGTTAGGAACAGCATGAATTATATTTAAATAGCTAAGTTTATTGCATTTTATTTTCCAGCTATCGAAATGCGACTCTACTAGCAACGTTTGGAAACCAAAAACCAAGCAATCATGAATCAGAACCATTTGCCATTCAGAATAAAGAAATTTAAATATAAATATGAAATACTTGTTTCCATTCAGCATAAAAGAAATATAAATATGAATATTAACAAAATATGAAAGTTAATTTTATAAAATAATTAAACACATGAACAAATATATGAAATAGAAAATAATTATTTCTCATGCAATAACTGGGCCACTACACTACTCCCCCACCAGTAACTATAAGTTACGTTACGAAGATGGAGAAATAGGTAGTAACTAGTATTGCAGTGTTAACCACTATCAGAATAATTTACAGTCCTTGAATCTAACAGGTAAACGTATAGTTCTGCCTGTGCGATAATGTTTTTGATTCACATCTGAATTTGAGTCCGGTCTCTGCAAGGTACTGTAGTCAGGTTGTGTCAACTGGGAATTTTCCTCAGCTAAAATATATGCTGGTTTCAAGCGATCCAGGGATACATTAACATGTTTTTCCTTTTATGCTAATAGTAAAATATTTGTCCTTGCGATCAATAACAAGGAAATGGTCCTTCATAAGGAGGTTCCAGAGGTTTTTTTTTTACCCGATCTATTCGCTGAAACACATGAGAACAAGTTTTCAAGTCTTTATGTACAAATATCCGTTCAGATGAATTTTTACGAATTAGTCTAGGTCCAACAACTTCCATCTGTTTCTGGAGGTTATTAGCAAAAGTCTCCGATGCTGTCTGGATACTTGGTTCGCTGAAAAACTCTCCAGGAAGTCTGAGACTCTGGCCATAAACTACTTGCGCAATAGAATGATTTGTATCTTCTTGAATAGCAGTACACAAACCCAAAAGTACTGTTGGTAATGTGTCCGTCCAAGATATGTTGTTGTGGGCTTTTAATGCTGTTTTTAATGTTCTATGAAGGCGCTCAACTTTGCCATTACACGAGGGGTGGTAGGCAGTAGTGTGTTGTAAATTGATGCCACAGATTTTGGACAAAGCTCGTAATGTATCACTTTTAAATTGGGATCCACGATCACTAATGAGTTTACTTGGCGTTCCGAAACGCGCAATCCAGTTGCTATAAAAGGCTTCTTGCGACATTCTCAGCGGAAATATTTTCTAAAGAAATTGCTTCCATCCAATTCGAAAATCTATCTATGCAAGTAAGACAATAAATATTCCCTTTAGATGGTGGAAGTGGTCCTATGAGATCGAATATGGATGACAGAAAATCTTCCTGGTGGTACTTCAAACTCACCTAATTTTGTTTTGGTATGCCGACTTGATTTTAGCTTTTTGGCAAGGAATGCAGGTTCTTGTCCACAACTGTACATCTTTTTTTATGTTAGGCCAAATGAATTTTGATGTCATTAATTTCACAGTCGATTTTATTCCTGGATGTGATAAACCATGAATTCGCTTTGAAAGACGTGTTTTCTAAAAGCCTGAGGAATATACGGTCCGAATATGTTTAGTTGATGTATCACATAACAAATATTTCTCCGAAGGTAGAGAACATTGCTTTAAATTCAAGGAAGTAGTGGCTTGCAAACTCTTCAGTTCTTCATCTTGAATCTGTTCATCTGCTAATTTATCATAATCTATTGATGAAATTTTATTAGCTCTAGATAATGCATCGGTCACAATATTATTCTCACCTTTTACATATTGGATATCAGTCGGAAACTGGAAGATGTATTGAGGTTGGCGAGCTTGTCGAGGCTCTCCTTTGTCAAGTTTTTGACGAAAGGCAAATATTAAGGGCTTGTCATCTGTATAAATTGTAAATACTCTTCCTTCTAGATAATTCTTAAAGTGTCTAACTGAAAGATATATGCTTAACCCTTTGCGCTCGAGGTTCTTTTCTTTCGGGTGAACCAGCAACTCGAGAGTAATCAGCCACTCCCGCTTATATCATGAGTTCCTTATTGTCAACTTAAAATAATTTTAGACACAATAAAACACTTTAAACTCGTATATTTTAACATTATACATATTTTTTTAACTTAATGTAACATATGTATTAAACATTACGAACATTAATGAAA